AATTCTTGGGAAAGAACTAATTTCCCTTCTCCATTATCAACCTTGAGAGTGAAAGTGGGAGATCCCTGGGAGAGCCTTGCCATTATTCTCTCTCTAGCCATTTTGCCTTCTTCTTCACCCAATCTCTTATCTCCATCATCTCCTTTGTTTTTGTGTTCCTAAGTTGAGATTATTGAAGAATCTAAGCCTCTCATCATATTCTAGAGAATTCGAAGTTGTTCTTCAAGGATCTTGAAGATCTTCGAATTTTTCAACTCCTTTCTCGAACCCTCTCCTACACCGTCTAAAATGGCATCACCTAGTGGACGTGTGTTTGATTGGCCGCCGAGAAAATTGTTCCATAAATAGTCTGCAACTTTCCTGCAAGTGAAAGAAAAGGTAAATTACACTGACATCCCTATATAACATTGAAATCACACGGCCACCTCCCATATTCTCCGAAATTACACTAACACCCCTAGTTGTGCCATGATAAAATACCCATAACACCCTTGTTTGATTTTACAATTTTCATCAAAGGAATAGAGAAGAAGAACAATCGAGAAAGGAGAAAATGATAGAATAGAGGAAAGAACCGAGCAAAGAAGAGGAATAGACAGAAGAAACTATCTGTCATGGAAATATTTTTTCAAACATTATGTGAGATGTGGATAATTTTAGTGACCCATTTTTTTTTGCCCTTTACTATAGAGGTGTTTAACAACGCTGCTACACACCCCAGTGACGTGGCGGGCCTCCATTGGCCAGTTTTCTGTTTTTTTTTTCTTCCAATCCTGCAGTGTCACGTGGCACTAGGGGGGGTCGGTGGGGGTGGGGTTTACTGGGGGTCCGGCGCATTTTTGGGTGTTTAATGAGTTGGCACACACACAAAAAAAAAGTCTTTTGATTAGTTATAGGTGGGAATAATTGCTAAAAAGTCATACATAGGATTGATTTGATAATTACCTTTTTAATAGTTTTTTATTTCATTTTCGAGATAAAGTTTTTGTGAAAAAAAATAATATGTTCCATAAATTTAAAAAAAAATTATTTTTTGTTATTAGAAAAGTTGAATAGGTCCTTAGGTTTTTTTTCTTTTTTCAATTATTAACTTTTTTAACTGAAACAAATACTTACTTTTATTTATTTATTTTGCCTTCTTAAATAGTCAAAATGTAAAAATTTAAATCACTGAACCATAGTTTGGTTTTCCCAATTTCCATTTGGTAATTAAAAAGTCAATTTTCCACCAAAAATCCAAGTAAAAAGGTCATGAACTGAAACCAAAAGCTTTTAAATAAGTCATGACCAAACCGATAATAGTCTCCTTTAGTACAATTTATTGTAAGAAAAAATTATATTGGTGATCCTGCTAGTTAGTGTTTTTTTTTTTTCTTTTAATTTGGTTCTTATAATTCTAATTGCATCAATTTTATTTTTAAGTTTTTAAATTGCATATTTATTATAAGAAAAAATTATATCGGTGATCCTGATAGTTAGTTTTTTTTTATTAATTTAGTTCTTATAATTCTAATTACATCAATTTTGTTTTTAAGTTTTTAAATTGCATCAATTTAGTTCAATTGATAATGTCCGTTAGAAAATTAGAAGAAAATCAAGGACAAAATAATCTATTCAAAAGCGAAAAGGGTATCTCAAATTGGATGTTAACCCTTTAATTATTTTGATGAGAGTGAATTGACCATTTTGCACTTGATTTCAGGGTAATTTCTTAAGAGACATTATCAATTAGACCGATGAATGTGAAAAATTCAATGTAGAGACAAAATATAGAAACCACAAAATTCGCCCTTATTGTAAGCTAAAAGATCAATCCAAAAAACCTCCCCCAACTTTCAAATAATCGGTATTTTTTTAAAGCTTATTTAAGATATTTTCGTGCATAAATTGGTTACATCAAGCAAGGTCAATATATATATGTTGATAAAGGCAAATACCGGGCATCATCAGAGGAAGAAAGGGAGTAGCTCGTAGAGTCGCCTCCGATGGAGAGTATCACCTTGATGCCGCCATCCTGGCAAGCTTTTATGTCTTTGCTAAGACCGGCGCAACCACCATTCGAACAGTGACCGGCTAGGTTTAGCGCCGGAGTCCGGCCACTGCCGAATGTGGATAGAAAGGCTATGTTCACAATTGCATAGTTTCTTGTGGCACAAGCATCGGCCAAGCTGCCTTCATTTTGGTTTTGGCCCCAGTAGAGTGAGATTGTGCCCCCATGAGAGTGGTTGGCAAGAGAAATGAGCACAACAAGGCAGATAAGGATTTTGATAGCCATCATGCTCGGTTTAATTTTGTTTTGCATTTCATGTCAAGTTATGGCCTAATTTATAGAAGGCATTTGAGGGGGTTACTATGATTCAATTCAACCCATTCCATACGTTTGTGACATGGTTCAAATTTTCTCGCGAAAATTTTTAATCACTTAATTGCTTTCCCACTAGTCGTACTCCTTCCTTGGGAAGGGAGTAGTTCAAGAGATTGGGACACCACTCAATTGCTTTTGAAACATTGATTTTTTTTACACAAACCAAGTAATTTCCAGGTCAAATCCTGATAGTAATCTCAAAGAAAATGAGGAATAAATCTCGAGATTCAAACTTATAATGTTTTAAATGGGAATCATAGACCGGGCCAACTGAGTTGAAATATGGATTACCTTTTGAAAGAGGTGCCAAACTAGTTGAACTGATGAAGAATATTGATATAGCTTAACCAGTAGATCATTTGTAAAACTTTCCACACAATTCATGGACCTTCTTTTCTTGGAAGAATGTAAGGAAGAACATCATGATGAATCTTGGCCATTAACATTGCTACCAATATGGAGCTAACACTATGTTTGGATTGAGTGATTTGGAGAGAAAAGAAAAAAAATAGAGAGATACGGGTTCCGTTTGGTAGAGCTTTGAAAATATAGTTCTACACTCACTTTTGAGTGTGGTGTTGTTTAAGGTTTTTAAAAATTAATTTCACTCACTTTTGAAAACTCTTCCTAAGGCGAGAAAATTTGAGCTTACCAGTCGTCCCACCGGACATTCCGGCCGGCCGGTTGACTGGAACAGTGTTCGGTTTTTTTTTTTTTTTTGCACCTGTTATTTTTATATTACAAAAAGAATATTTGTGAATTTTTTTAAAAAATTTTTATGATCTTTAAATACAATTTTAGACTGTGTATTTGGTTGAATTGTAAATTTTTGTATCAAATATCATATGTCACATCAGTCAATTCAAATTCAATTTAAAACTCTTTTCAAAATCATAACCAAATAAATTTTTCACACTCAAATCATAATTTCAAAACTCACAAATGTAAAATACAACTTTATTCTCAAATCATAATTCTAAAACTCTATCAAACACTATCATATATTTTTTTTAGTTGTTTGGACAACTTAAGTGATAAGACAACCACAACAGCAGCTTCAGCTCCAGCATCACCAGCTCCAGGTTTAGCTTCAGCTTCAGAATCAGTTGCATCAGTTGCAACTGCTACAGCTCCAGCTGTACATTCAAAATCTGTTATATCAAATGCATTGTATAGTCAGTTAGGAAATCAGTTAGGAATTGGTTAAGTGGTTAGGAATTAGTTAAGAAGTTACAGTGATTAGTTATCTTTCAGTCTCAGCATTGTATATAAATACTGTTATGTAATTCATAACAGATATGAAATGAATAAATGTTTTTCTTCACATTTAGATCCCAACTAGGTTGGCACCAAAACGCACACCAAATCATCTGCTAGCACACACTCAAGGCTCCAAGTTGGTGAGAAACCAACAAACAGAGCGAAAAAAAACAACAAAACACTCCACAAACAACCACACCACAGAGAGCCTAAGGGCCCATTTCACTCAGACCTCATCTTATTGAGCTGGTTCAAAGCTGGCTGTAAAATATTATAAAGAACCCAAAGAATAGCAGGAGAAATGACAAACAACAGGAGCTGCCCCCTATTGTCACTTGAAGCCTGTGCTGCTGCCATCGCATGAGGGGTTGACATGAACCCTGAGGCAGCAGCCAACCCACCTATCCCACCAAGCCCAATGATGACCCCCCTAATGCTCCTCATTTTGTTGACCTGGTTCAAAGCTGGTTGAAGGATGTTGAAGAGAACCCAAGCAATGGCTGGAATGATTGGCAGGAGGAGTGCTAGGCCCCGGTTATCGCCCTCAGCGATGTCGGCAATTTGTTGGGCTGCCATGGCTGGATCACATGAGGTTAGGGTTGCGAAAATGGCTCCAGCAAGGGCAGTGCTGGATAGGGGTGATGGGTTAGAGATGGTGAGGCCTTTTGGGAGGTTTTGGATGGAGAGGAGGGAGGTGCAAGTGGTGGTGGTGGGTAGTTTTGTTGTTGGCTTAGATGGGTTGTGGGTTTTAGGGGTGGTGAAGCACTTGGCATTGAGCATGGCCATCGTTGCTATAGTTGCTGCCATTGGTGTCGTGTGTTCTTGTTGAGCTTAGTTTTAGCTTATTCTGTAGGTGGGATTGGAAGGCTTGTGAGATGAGAGAAAAGCTTAGGAGAGAGAATAGCTTCAAGGGTTGGCTGTGATGGAAAAATGCGATCCAATAGAATTGTGATATGTGGATTGCTTCTCTTATCCAAAGTGCTATTGGTGAGATATGGACCTCATATTTCATCCCCTAACAAAGCTTCTTATCACTTCATCACCACTTAGTATTTTTATCCCTCTCCCAATTAAGCAACGAATTCTCAATATTACTTATTTGTCTTCAAGGATTTCCTAGAGACCACTTCAATAGACAAACTTTTAATTGATAGAGTTCTAAATTTGAAAATTACAAAATCTTTTTAAAAATTTCGAGTAAAAATTTGAGTCTTCCTAAATTTTTAGGGGGGGGGGGGAAATGGATAAAACTTAATTTGATACAAATTTGAGTTGTGGAGTCGAGAATTTTGAGTGATTTTTATCCAAATTTAAATGTAATGTAAGTTTGAATCAAGGGGTAGAGATGTCCATAGTGAACAGAACTCAATGGAGTTTGGAAAACTCATATTGTAGACAAGTGAAATTTCGAAAACACATGGGAGTTTTGGCCAACAAATTAGCTGAGCAAACAGCTAAATTAAAAGATTTGCAAAATCTTTGTTTCAATATTCTTAAACAAATGAATTGGAATGAAGATTTTAATTTTGAAAAAATAAACAATTTTCTTCAACTATCAGATCTCATATCAGATGAGTTTTCTGACCCAGTTTTTGAACAAATAAAAAAAATTTGTCTTTTTGAAAAAGCAAGAACTTTGCTTCCAAAAGAAATTTTTATGTTAATCAAAAATCGGGTTGAAGATCATCATGATAAGATTAGACAAATCTTAGAACGATCTTATGATAAATTAAATTTGAAAGATGGAATTCCCAAAATAACCATCATGGCAAATCATGACATGTGATTTTTTGAGGATATAGATTGGGGAATAACTAATCAAGTTATTTTTCAAATTTTAGATCCAATTTAATGGATAGATTATCCAATGATCATCAAAACAATGCTCTTATGGATAGTAAAAGGCTTTCGATGGAGCAAATATTTTACTTTTTGGATCTCCAGCACTGTTGGTTGGCGAGAACGAGAACATTTTTTCCAACCATACCAGATTTGGTATCTTAAAGAAACTGAAGATTTTGAATTTGAAGATAATTATTTAGATGAAGATCACCGGAGAGAGCGATTGGAAAATATCTAAAAACTTTCTTTAACAGAATATTGGATAGACAGTCTAATATCTGTTTCACAAAGCAGCATCCAACATCCATGGCTCAGCAAAATTGCCATTCATGGTTATAGATGGAAGAATATTATTTGTAACCCATTTTCCCATAACATATCAAAGGTCTCCAACGCAAATTAATGAGGCTCTTGACATGTTAATAAATCTCAAAAAGAGAAATAATTTGGATATTCCGTTGGAACTAGCCATGACTGCGGATGATGTAGAACATTTCCAGAATGAGCAATACAGTCAAGATCCGGATTCCCCTCCATCAGAGACTGATGAAGAATATCACAATCTCATCAACAGGATGGAAGCATAGTGGACCCCACTATCACATGCAGCTGTCTCCTGATCGACTCCAACCTTATCCAGGACACGTGGAGCAACCTGCATTATTTGACGGAAAGTGACCAGTCACATCCTTTCAGCCGACGCTACACGACAAATCAGCTCAGCCAAAACTTATCTACAACAGTCTATCTCTTTGAAAACCGGGGAGGGTAGACAGTGTGTCTCAGTATATATAATTGTAAAAACTGTAGCAAAGAGCAAATAATTGTAGTCCTTTTGTATTTATTTTTGTCTCTTTGTATTTACTTTTAGATAGATTTTTCAAAAAGCCTATCACTAGACTTGCCTAACTAGTTAGAAAAATTGGTAACTTTTAAGACAAAAAGTCTTACAAAATTAGATATGTTAGATATGCAATAAGTAATATTTTGTTTATATTCTCTTCTTGTAAGTCTATATATTGGCCTTGATGCCAACATAATGGAGCATGTAAATTCCCTTCAACTTCTCTCCATCTTTTTGCTTTCTTCTTTGTAGACCATCTAGAGTAGAAATAGTGAGATAATCACTTGTTTTTATTTTGGAAATGTTAGAATAATAACTCACTAGTTGACCTTATAGTAAAGTTTGTCATTAATATAAAAAAATTAGAATTACTTTATACAAAAAAAATTGGATAAATTACAAACACACCACCTGAGATTTACGTAAATTACAAATTATCCCCTGTGATTTTAGAAATTACATTATGTCTCCTAAGATTTTTAATTTCATAACAAATAGGTCATTTTATTAATAAATTATCAAGTTAATTAATAGTTTTTAATAATATTAAAATTTTATTTCAATTAATAATTTAGATAATTTTATTATTATATAGGTGAACAGTTAGAAATTTTATTTTTTTAATTAATTCTGTTAAATAAAAAATTATGACAGGGAGGCATTTGTAATTTTTTTAAATCATAGGAGTAATTTGTATTTTAAACAAAGCTCAGGGGGTGTATTTGTAATTGATCTAAAAAAATTAGGTGCATAAAGAAAACCAAATATAGAATGAATGTGAGATAAAATATTTACAATTATAAACACAAACATGTTTACAACTATAGATGAGAATAATTTTTATTTCACATTTGCGTATTTTGTATCGCATTCTTTTATGTACACATAATACAACTGTACCATATAAAAAAATTCAATGAGAATGAGAATAAGAATATTTGAAGTATGCCAACAAAGCTTTATGAAGTCATCCAACCCATGTAAGTTATGAGCTGGGATGGATGGTCCAATCCCACACTCATCCATGGGCTAATCATATAAACACTGTATGAGTGTGTGTGGGGAGCTTCTATATGCACACACCATATTTTCTCTTCTCACACACTTAATGAGAGAGTGTGTTAGAAAATTGTATGTGAACGATGTGTATAGAGAGAGAGTGATATGTGTAAATAGATACTCCCGTGTGTGTGGGGTGCTCACTTCTCTCTCATTTCTATTCCCGTACCTCTTGTAAAATCAAGGGTAATTTACATCATTGGCCCTTTGATTTGAGTAAAATTTCACTTGCAATCTCTGTAATTTTAATTTTATTTATTTAAATACTAAATTTTCAATTTCATTTTAATGTAATCTCTCTGTCAATTGATGTTAACAGAGAATAGCTTCAAGGGTTGGCTGTGATGGAAAAATGCGATCCAATAGAATTGTGATATGTGGATTGTTTCCCTTATCCAAAGTGCTATTGGTGAGATATGGACCTCATATTTCATCCCCCAACAAAGCTTCTTATCACTTCATCACCACTAAAGTGTATCTGTTGCTAAGCACTTAGTATTTTTATCCCTCTTCCAATTAAGCAACGAATTCTCAATATTACTTATTCGTCTTCAAGGATTTCCGAGAGACCACTCCAATAGACAAACTTTTAATTGATATAGTTCTAAATTTGAAAATTACAAAATCTTTTTAAAAATTTCGAGTAAAAATTTGAGTATTCCTAAATTTTGGGGGGAAAAAAATGGATAAAACTTAATTTGATACAAATTTGAGTTGAGGAGTCGAGAATTTTAAGTGATTTTTGTCCAAATTTAAATGTAATGTAAGTTTGAATCAAGGGGTAGAGATGTCCATAGTGAATCTAGACCATCTAGAGTAGAAATAGTGAGATAATCACTTGTTTTTATTTTGGAAATGTTAGAATAATAACTCACTAGTTGACCTTATAGTAAAGTTTGTCATTAATATAAAAAAATTAGAATTACTTTATACAAAAAAAATTGGGTAAATTACAAACACATCCCCTGAGATTTACGTAAATTACAAATTATCCCCTGTGATTTTGGAAATTACATTATGTCTCCTAAGATTTTTAATGAAAAATGCTTCGGACCCCCACTGGGGGTCGACCCCCAGTGAGGTGGCGCGTCGTGATTGGACAAAAAAAAAAACTGTTTTATTTTATTTATTTATTTTTTTTGAGTTTCAGCTAGTGAGGGCTCGCCACCTCACTAGGGGTGCGACCCCCACTGGGGGTCTGCAGCATAGTTGATTTTTAATAAATTATCAAGTTAATTAATAGTTTTTAATTTCATGACAACTAGGTCATTTTTTTAATAAATTATCAAGTTAATTAATAGTTTTTAATAATATTAAAATTTTATTTCAATTAATAATTTAGATAATTTTATTATTGTATAGGTGAACAGTCAGAAATTTCATTTTTTTAATTAATTCTGTTAAATAAAAAATTATGACATGGAGGTATTTGTAATTTTTTAAACCATAGGGGTAATTTGTATTTTAAGCAAACCTCAGGAGGTGTATTTGTAATTTATCCAAAAAAATTAGGTGCATAAAGAAAATCAAATATTGAATGAATGTGAGATAAAATATTTACAATTATAAATACAAACATGTTTACAACTATAGATGAGAATAATTTTTATTTCACATTTGTGTATTTTGTATCGCATTCTTTTATGTACACATAACACAACTGTACCATATAAAAAAATTCAATGAGAATGAGAATAAGAATATTTGAAGTATGCCAACAAAGCTTTATGAAGTCATCCAATCCATGTAAGTTATGAGCCGGGATGGATGGTCCAATCCCACCCTCATCCATGGGCTAATCATATAAACACTGTATGAGTGTGCGTGGGGTGCTCACTTCTCTCTCATTTCTATTCCCGTACCTCTTGTAAAATCAAGGGTAATTTACATCATTGGCCTCTTTGATTTGAGTAAAATTTCACTTGCAATCTCTGTAATTTTAATTTTATTTATTTAAATACTAAATTTTCAATTTCATTTTAATGTAATCTCTTTCAATTGATGTTAACATTTTAAACAAGAAATAACTTGGATGAAACTAAAAAGACTAAAGTAAAATTTGTAAAAAAAAAAATAAGTCACTGACGTAATTTATTTATTTTTCTTTCTTGTGTAGGAATTGATAAATTTTTCAGGTGAATTGCATATGGCTTAATCTGTTCAAAATGCTAACTATTTAAATTGATGAAAGACAAACTTAAAGTGTGATATAATTGATGAGATTGAAAGTACAAAAGTTAAAATAAAAATTTATTCAAATTAAAGCGTCAATGATTTATCCTAAAATAAATGAACAAGGGGTGGGGGTGTAAATTTCGCCTACTAGTCTGCGGTGCATCCGAAGCCCACTTGCAGCTAGCTGGGCTTGTCTAGGCCCCGGGCCAAGCCGAGCCCGAGACCCTGGGCTTGGGCTTGGGTCTTGTTTTGAAGCTCGGTCCGATCCATGAGCCTAGCTGGCTAGGCTCAACCCAAAGCCCAGCCTATCAACCTACTCGTGACCCTATTCGCCAGAGGCCTAATGCCATTTTTGATAAAAAATAAAATAAAATTTTGATGGAAAAATGAAAAAAAATAGTCAAGCCTGGTCCACACCTGCCCAAGCCCAAGCACAGGTCCAAGCCTGACCCCCCAACCCTCTCTAAGCCTGAATACCCCCAAACCTAAGCCTAATTTTCTATGATGTAACCCAGTTCAGTCCGAATTTTAGCGAGAACTAGCCCGGCCCAACAGTGGGCAGCCCAAGCCTGGGCCCAGATTTACGCCAACCATGAGAAAATATGGGATGAAATGGGAAACAGGGTAAGTGTCCGATGTTGTTGGCTCTTTCTCCTCATTTTCAGAACTCAAAAAACAGAGTGGCAAATCAACCTCTCCCCTTCTCAATTCCCATTCAATCTCAGATCATATGTATGTATGTATATATACATATTGCCTTTGCATTCTAGGGTTTGCACAACAACCCCAATATGTCTACTCTCCTCACAATTGGACCAAATTCGGTCCTCTCTTCCTTCCCTGACCGAACCAGGACCATAAACCCTCTTCTCCACCGAACCCACCATCTGGGTTTATCGAATCATAGTCCCTTCCTTCGGGGCACACTGGGTTTGGTCAGGCTAGGGTTCAATCAGGTACAATTTCCTGATCCTGATAGTGTGGAGAATCTGCTTCGGCACCTGTTTGGAAGATCAGAAAGTTTTCTTTTCACGATTGCCGATGCCGCTGCTAGCACCAAACAGAACAGTGATTGGCTTTCTGGAATTACTTTTTACATGGAAAATGTTCTTAAGGTTTCTACAAGATTCAAACTTTGCTTAGTTATTGTATTTGCCAGCTTGTGAAGTGAGGATGGTTTTTATTGTAATGTGTTTATGTAAAATTGGATCAATAATTGCCAGCATTGGGATATTTGATTTAATGCTAAGAGCATCTCCAACGCTGTGTTTTTTTTTTTTCAATAAAATTTGAGTAAAGATTTGGGTTAAAAGTTTCATTAGAGTTCCAATGCTAAATTTTCAATTTTCATCAAACAACCAGTCCACCGAGAGGACGACTGGGAGGATGCCTGGGCGGCGGTCGTCCGGCCTAGTGTATCAAATGAATTTTCACAAGTTTTGATGGAAGGTTAAACGTTCCTTGATTTGATGAAAAAGGTAGGACTCACTTCATTTGATACCAATTTGGTGAAACGGTTGGAACAGGTTTTCATTAAATTTTCATCAAATTTAAATTTGATAAAAGATTTTAGTCTGGGTTGGAGATGTTTAATACAAGTCCAAACTATTGTGAAAGGATAGAGAAGTGAGTCTAAGAGGCATATTATCAAACAGTAGTTAGCAACCTAAGTAATGGAGCTGATGTTTGTCGATAAGTCAGTAAATGAACTGCTATGTGTAGAATTGAGCTGTTGTCATAATCTTGAAGTACCAAATTTGTTCACCGGTTAGTTGAACCGATTTTTGCATTTTGTATAGACTTTTAAGAGGATTTCAGTATATAGTTGATATAGTTCTTTCTTTTTGTACATAGATTTCACCCCTTTGGTGCCTCATTAGCTATTCACGTATAATGCTGCAATCATTCCTTCGCAAGAGTTTACTTTAGTTTATCTAGTTTTTTGAGAAATTAAAGTTCAGCTTTCGGTTTTTTTTATTGTAGCCATATTTTGGTACTTCTATGGGTTAGTTTGAAACCCATAGCTTCATCAAGTTCGATTCTTACTTGCTGGACTTTGTGTAAATCAGTCCTAAAGTTTAATTTGCATACTTTCAGTTTTGATCATAGTGTTATTTGGGTTCCCTTCCTATTGTAGTTGTTGGAACCTTCCAACTAACTGCATCAAAAGTTAACTTTGTTTACTGTTTTGTGTATAATTTACCAAACAGTGATTTAGTATGTCCCATAAGTCATATGGGTTTTCAAAATCTATTTTTATTGTTTTCAGGTTTTGGCGGATGGTTTAGCTACTTTACATGTTCCTTATGCTTATGGCTTCGCAATTATTCTCCTCGCTGTACTCGTTAAGGCTGCTACCTTTCCTTTATCAAAGAAACAGGTTTTTCTTTTGTCTTTGCTAAATTTGAATTGGAATTTTCTTATATTAAGCTGATTGATTGAGTTCCTCAAAATCTAACTTTTTGCTTTAAGTTGGCTAACTTATCCAAACTTGGAAATGAGATCCTCTTCAAGTTTTAGTTATTATAATGAATGTCTTCTAAAATTATTATGGGCAGGTAGAATCTGCAATGGCAATCCAATCCCTACAACCGCAAATAAAGGCCATTCAGCAACGGTACACTGAAGACCAGGTTACCTTTCATCCCGTTCTTTGTTGGAACATTTTCTTCGTAGCACAGAATCAGATTATCAGTGCCGGCTTTTATATATGCTCTGATATATAAAACTACACATAAACACAAAGGCAAGGGGCACAGAATTTGTGCTAAGAAGAGAGAGAGAGTATTTGTAAACAACAGAATTTTTGTTTGGTTAATAGTTACACTTCAAGCTGGTTTTTTGAGTATTTGTAAACAACATTTAGATCTGACATGACTTCAGCAAATTAAGTGGTTATAAATAATTGCTAGTTTACTTAGCATCTTGGCCTATAATGTGAACCATTCGTTTATTGCCCTATGAAAAGCCAGTGATGGTTCAAAGTGTGTTGACAAAAGAGCTCTCGCATTATCAATATCCAATCCTCACATTTGTATGTGATTGCAGGAGAGAATTCATCTTGAAACTGCTCGATTGTATAAACTAGCTGGCATAAATCCATTGGCAGGTATACTCTTGCTCATTTCCTAGTAACTGAGTTTTATTGTGGAGGGATTTGATTGCATATTTGTATTCATGGAACATTTCCATCATTTATCGATGAAGACACATGATATGATGTTCTGTATTAATGAAATAAGTATATCAAGGGAGAGTAACAGAATATATGCCACTAAAAGTGTGTTTGCTTTTCAAGTATTGCAATCAATGGATATATTACAGAATAAATGCCACTAATATATTCCTTCTTCCTCATATTTTCGGAGTTCTTCTTCCTCATATTTTCTAAGTTAGGAGTTCTTCTTCCTCATATTTTCTAAGTTACTGTTATGTATATATATATGTAGTCATTGAAAAACATATGGCCTTTCGTCTTTAAGTGTTAAATGTTAAGAAGTTTGAAAGGCATTAACCATTGGACATGGTTCTGTTAATATTACAGGTAGAGTATTTCGAGCAGCTCATTAATGAGACTTTAGCTTTTCCTCTAGGTCTTTTGCAATTAGGCCTGTATGAAAATATTTGATTTCTTGAGGTCTTGTTCTTCCTGATACACTTTGTGGTTGTAAACCTAGAATTATTCTCATGTAACTTTTTTTTTTTGTCTTTGCCAGGATGTCTGCCAACTCTAGCCACCATACCCATCTGGGTTGGACTTTATAGAGTCCTATCAAATGCAGCAGATGAGGTAACATGCTAATATGTTTTTTTGAGTCCTCGTGACCTTTGTTGTTTCTGCTTTTATTTTCTCACTGAAGCATCTTTGGCATCTAATTTAATGTTCATTATAATATTAAGCGACTCTTGACAGAAGGCTTCTTCTGGATACCCTCCCTGTCTGGTCCGACTACAATTGCTGCTCGACAAAATGGCATTGGCATCTCTTGGCTTTTTCCTTTTGTAGTAAGTGCTGCATCCATTCTAAATTTGTGTATTCTTTCATATGGGTCTTGTGTGATTTTCGCCGAAATTATGTAGTCATTTGGCTTGTGAGTTTCATTTAGAATATAGATTATTAGTTATTTGCATATTGTAAGTTTTATTTTCTACATTACTAGTTATGAATGTTTTTTGGTCCGCCATGTAGTAAGAAATGTATCCCTGTTGAACGAGTACACAATATCCTATTTACAATTTAGTATAATTAACATGTATATGTTAGGGGGCAATCATTGGTCCAATGGTAAAACTTTGGCCTAATAAACTTGAGGTTATGGGTTCAAATCACGGGACAACCACTTTGTGCACTATGCAAGGTTAGGTGTGTACTCAATCTTTTTCCTCCCAAACACACATTAATGTGTACTAATTGGGCGTTATTGTTTCATTTGATATTAGGACAGTATCTCTGATGCTTCCCTCACTAGGGATTTTATTTGCTATTTATACAAGTTTGTAGAAATTTAATGTATAAAGAGAAATAAAGAATTGTATTATTGATTCATGTATTGATATATATTACAATGATTCATGATTCCTATATATAGAAGAGGGTGAGTGTGTAGTAGGTAAGGAGTAGGTGAAGTGGAGGTGGTAGTGGTGTAGTGGGTTAGGTTTAGTGGAGTAGGTGAGGTGGTAGTGGTGTAGTGGGTTAGGTTTAGTGGAGTAGGTTTAAGTGGGTGAAGTAGGTGGAGAGTAGGTGGATTTTAACAAAGTTGCCTTCAATATTCTCATCCTTGGATGCTCAAATTTCTTTGCAGGATGGTCATCCTCCCCTTGGATGGTCAGATACCTTGCCATATCTTATACTGCCTGTGTTGCTGGTTCTCTCACAGTATATCTCTGTTCAAATCATGCAGTCATCACAGGTTAGGATTTTATTTTTTGATTGATGTTTATGATCTCTTTTGATATCTCAAATTTCACTTCTTCTTTTTTTTATTTTTTTATTTCATTGCTTCAACAATATGATTAAATTTTTTTTTTTTTGATCCACGAAAGTCAATTGTTAGTTGCTGTTAGAATCGCACCTATGGGAGTTAGCCTCTTCACCCTTGCAAAGCACTAAGTGTTTGCCTCTCAATTCAACTCCCCTTTAAAGAGAGTTGAACCCATGATCTCCCCCTTGGGACTTAGGCTTGGCCTACTTACTTTGTGTCAGATTTACTTTTTGCTATAATTCCTTATATGGTGGCAAGTGATTTCTTACTTGTGCATTTGATGGCTGTCGCTAATGATTAAACCAAAGTCATCTTCTTTTTTCTTTTCTTTTTTTATTTAATTTTTTTCTCATTCTACCACTGATTGTTCTTTTAGTCAGTTTTGTATTCAATACACCCACTGCAGGAAATTAAATGATATGCCACTAGTTTTTTATTTTTTTTCAATTTAACAAAATGCAAATATCCAAGAGTGCAAACGACTATTTTTGTTAAGATAAAACATATTTGCTCATTCCCCGGTAGCTGGATGTCTCCATTGTTTAGGATAAGGGGCTAGACTGAGGAATGTATAACATAGGTGCTCCATATTTCAATATAGTAAGAAAGTGATATATATATATATATATATTAGAATTTCTTGAGGAGTCCAGGAGTTTAGAAACAAATTGTTTCTTGCAATTTTTTAAAATTGTTGTTGTGTTGCATCGCATGTCTGTGCTAGTTAAGTATTCAGATATTACTTCTGCTCTTTGAATCTATCCCTTCATCTTAAATCTAGTTTCTCTGCAAATGTTGTGGGCCTTGTGACTTCCACCATAATGATGTATGAATTACTAATCACAGTCACGGATTGTTATTCCCATATTATTTAACATGTCTCTTAAACTTTCAGGGTAATGATCCAAGCTTGAAGAATTCTCAAGCCATTACGAAATTTCTTCCCTTAATGATCGGTTATTTTTCTCTTTCAGTTCCTTCTGGGCTAAGCCTTTATTGGTGAGCAACTGTATGCTCCCTTATTAATGAAAACTCTTTCTTTTTTTTTGGTTAGAACTTCTATTGTCATGATGACCAATCGTAAAAACTGTCTATTTGCTACCTTAACTTCCACGAATACAGCAGAATTTGACATATGCCTTGTGCAGGTTAACAAGTAACATATTGGGCACAGCACAACAGGTGTGGCTTCAAAAATTGGGGGGTGCCAAAAATCCAGTGAGTAAGTTCAGTGATAACATTATCAAGGAGCAATCCCAAATCCGAAAGTCCATGCTTGAAACGAGCACCATCAAAACAGAGCTCAAAGTGGAGAAGTTGACTTCAGAGGGGCCTCGTCCTGGTGAAAGGTTAATAATAGTTGTTTTTTTGTAACCCGACTACATTGTTGCTATGGCAACTGTTGTTTATGGTGTTAAGGTATCGGTGTTTCCTAGATTTAAACAAATAAAAGACCAAGAGGCAAGGAGAAGACAGAAGATAGAGGAAGAATGGAGGAAAAACGGGGGACATAAGAACGAAGGGAATTCAGTTCAGAGGGAAAGTGGAGCTGGAGCTGAGTCTAGTGATACCGAGATTGAAAGTGGTAACTCTATGAGTGGGATTTGCAATTCGTCCGGTACCGGACATCATGTCGTGGACGGTGATCTTTCTACGGTGGACTCAAAGGAAGACCAGAAGACTTCTGTCCTTGAGATGGAAAGCAGTGAAGTTTCTGCTAATTTGAAGGATGCGAGAGGTGATCAAAATCTCCATGAGGATCCAGAGAAGGTAGCCTCATGAGTCACGAGATATCCATTAAAAGTTTATAAGTCTGCATCTTGGTTAAATTTATAAGATAATACCAATGCTGCATCGTTGTTGGCATTCTCACGCATGCCATTTTCATCTCCTTTTCTAATTGCATGCTATGATACGCTCAATTTATCTCCAAGTTTGAAACCTAGAAAGCAATTACACTGCATTTAGGTCTAAAAAAGGGAGATAGTAAAAATCCTCAATCCTTCATTGCTCAACATGTAAACAGCATATTTTGTGAGGTAAGCAATATTAATCAATAGCTTCAAGTAAATAAGAAATGGTTCGAATGCAGTGATGAGACCGTATGAACTCAAGTTGATAGTTAGAAAAGTCTAGGAACACAAAAACCGATTACAGAACTGGACACAATCCTCGGTGATTGGTTTTTGTGCAAATAGAACTGTTATGGTTAATCTTACCTCTTTATGCTGTGTGGAAAGTTAGCCTCTCAGTTATTGTTTTTGATGAGGCAGTTTTCAAATATATTTCACAGCTTGTTACAATGTTGTCCTTGGTAGCTGAATTGGATTTACACTAGGATTATTATAATGCTATTGTTTGAAAGCCTTTTGAAAAATGGATTAATCTACCATATCATGATATCAGTATTTGGTGAACTTTTCTTAATAGCTTCATGGCGATGGTTCTGAAGTAGCCAAGTGAGGAGGGCTGAGGTAGGTAGATGCATACTCAAGTCACATCTTGCGATGATGGACCCCGGAAATTCAAGTTGGACCAGTACTTGGCATTCAGGCCTTTTATTGACTTATGTGGTAGTGTCCAGTTTTTATTAACTTTGATTTATTCATATCATGCTTTCAAACTTTAGGGCAGCTCGGTCCACGGTAAGGCTTGCTGTTAACGTCATAGAAACATCCTCTAAAAAAATGGGAGAAAACTGAGTACATCTTGCCTTTCCCAGACCCCCTCTTTAACAGGACCCTCGTGCAGTGGATTGTCCCTTTTTTTATGCTTTCTAACTTCCGCCTAGGTAACACCAGCATAAATGGAAACTTGTAGCATTAAGTGATGGTAAACTGGTGGTCATTTTGATTTTGGTGTGGTCTTCTTTGTTGTTGCAATCAGTTGCTTCTCTTAGAGCACTATAGTGTAAAAGCAATTCCGATCAAATTTATTTATTTATTTATTTATTTTCAGGAATAAGCAATTGCGGATGACAAACTTTCCAGTGAAGCTACACATTGGGACTGAAGTGAATGAACAATGGAAATAGAAGCCGAGCAGGTATATTTATTTTCACAACAATTGATTAAGGAGTATGCGAGCAACTTAACATCGCCCAATCAACATTTCCAAATTGGCAAACGATTTGAATGGAGCATGTTTGGTTTACCTGGTGAGATTGTAGGGGCAATAGGGTGTAAATTGTTATTGTCACAGGTGGATACTGAGATCAGTAAAGTTTGGAGTGTATTTCTTGTAACTTCAACTTGAGAATGAATGTAAAAATTGTCCTCAACAATGGGTTTGTAATTTATTTTCTGCTTTTGTTTTTTCTGATGGACAATAATGGAAGTTCTGTGTGGAGTGCTGGAAGGAAACAAAAAAGAATAAAATTTTGAGTGGAGCACATTATGGGGATAGCATGGTTCACAAATGCTGCATTGTAAGAATAAAATGGAATCCAAGAATCAAATCGCATTTAGATAAAAACAAAAGTTGTGATATTTTAAAGTTTTGAAATAATTTGAAATGGAAGACATTATATGTATAGGGGTGTTTTTTTTCTTTCGGCCTGCATTTGGCACCTCTCCAACACTCACATAAGAGATTTGGGGTTCAAATCTCGCTTGAGTGGTAGAACTTGATTAGTCCCCATTTGTATCATTTGCTACCTATTGCGGGTTCACCTTCCCAGTAGCTTAGCTTTTTGAATCCTGAAAAAAGTAAAGGACTTAGTGAAGGGCCAGGCTTCTGAGTCCTATGGGAAAGATGTTCACGCAATATATTTTCATTAAGAGGAGTCTATGGCCAAAAATTCCTTTCATTCGGCCTTAAAATATATATTTTCGAGAGTTTTGTAGTCCAATGACACCTCTTAGACAGTCTCGTATGAGAGGTTGGGCATTCAAACCTTTGATAGAAGCAAGGTGCTGTGACACAGTTTCATTATTCCATATTTGTTTCACTTGTCATTTGTTGTAAATTCATCAGCCTGTGTGTTACAGGGTCAATTTTCGTTTTCAATTTTCAGCCTGTAATGACACTAAGTTACAGCACCTAGTCTCAGCTAAGCATACACGAATTACCCACTGTAAGTTTTGTAAACAAGCAAGCATACACAAATAGATTACAGGAATCATTCCTAATCTTTATTACCACTGGATAATACAAGGATACATGAGTATTCGTACAGATAACATGATCTGTCTAAATCCCTCTATGCCTTAACATTTATAGGCATTTTACAAATCAGTTATGAGTAGTTGACACCCCCAACTGCTAGTGTAAATTCAAATCAACAAGGCTGCTGCAGATTGTAACTGCTGGAAACTGCTTGGAACTGTCTTGGACCAATTCTTTAATTCTAGCAGGCTTTGTCATGACTTCTTGCAAGCATAACTGCTATAAACTGCCCTGTTTGTTAGCTTTGCATCATGCCAAATAAAACTGCTTTGAACTGCCTATCCATTTTTGCCTTTTGAACCCTCATGAGTTTAACCCACGAAATTGTAAGTCTTGGTCTGCCATAAAGTGTCATGCCCACTGATCTATTTGACCCAACAAGTCTATGCTGCCAGCAGCATTCGGGCTAAGTATAGCCGTGCATTTGCCCACATGAAGTATCATTTGCCTTTGAGTTTGGTGGCATTGCCACCGCCACATTGTTACCTTGATTTAGTCATGCCTCTCTCATGCCTAACTTGGACAGTTGACATAGGTGCAAGGTACCACCGCATGCCAACCTAGGTGTCTAAGTCTTAGGGTGCTAACAAATTACCCCCACCAAAAGAAGCCGACGTCCTCATCGGTAAGGCCTCTAAGTAGTCTGTAATTTGTTTCTCAAACTGCCATATAGTCACATCCTTTTTCCAACTCGTATCCGCTTCAGGAGAACCCTTCCACTTTAACCAAGTAATGAGTTCTTCGATTTTTCTTGCTTTGCCCCTCTGTCTTGTGGTCCAAAATATGTTCCACTTCTTTATCAAACTGTTTTCTAATCACCGGAGGAGCATGTTGAGCTTGCATCCGTGTTATGTTAACCTAATCCTCATGATAAGGTTTCAGGAAACTAACATGGATTGTTGGGTGTATCTTCAACCGGTCAAGCAACTTAAGCCTGCAAGCAACATTTCCCACACGTTTCAGAATTTCAAAGGGTCCATCATATTTTGGAACAAGGCCTCGGTGCATTGTCTTGCTACTTATCTTTTGCCAAATTTGTGGAGTAAGCTTCGGCAGCACCTTGTCTCCCACTTTGAATTCCAATGGTCTCCGCCCTTTGTCAGCATACTTTTTCATCAGCTTGTTTGCCTTAGCCAAACTATCTTATGCTTCATCCAGCATGTCTTGTTTAACTCTTGCAAACCGGTATGCTGCGGGACATCTACCCCCTGAGCCAGTCCGTGCCACTTCATGCGGAGTGAGGGACTGTTGCCGTGTGGCTAATTCAAATGGGCTCATGCCTGTGGTAGATGACCGGTGTAGATTATAACAAAACTAGGCGCTATCCAACAGGTCAATCCAATTCCTCTGACTTGCAGTCACATAATGTCAGAGGTATTCTTCCAACAAACTGTCCATTCGTCTGAGGATGATTTGTTGTAGAAAACTTTAATTCGGATCCCATCAAGTTAAATAGCACAGTCCAAAACCGTCTTATAAATCGGGTATCCCTATCACTAACAATATCCTCGGGCAAACCAAAATATTTCACCACATACTTATAAAATAGGTCTGCCGTAACATCGGTGGGACAAGCATGAGGGGCAGGGATAAATACAGCACATTTAGAGAAACAATCAACAACAACCATAATAGAACACATACCGTTCACTTTTGACAACTCTGATATGAATTCCATGGAAACAGACACCCATGGCTTCGTTGGAGTAGGAAACGGTTGCAGCAGTCCAGCCACCTTTTTTCTCTCTGTCTTGTCTAGTTGGCACACTAAGCAAGTTTTGAGATAAGCTTCTACATCTTCCTCCATTTTTGGCCAACAATAGGAATGAGACAGTAAAGCCATCATGCGTTGTTGTCTGGGGTGACCCACTCATTATGGATCATGAGTTTCTCTAAGCAACTCTAATCTTAGCCCACCAATACTAGGGACATATAATCTATCTCCTTTGTCGTGGAGTAGATCGTTTTCCAATCAATAGCGACGTACAGTGCCTTCCTTCACTTGCTGAACTAGCCTTTGATATTCAGAATCAATTGTAGCATTTGTCCGAATCCTTTTCAACAGTTAGGTTTCAATGTTTGATATCGCAACAACATAGTCCGCAATTTCCTTTCGACTCAAAGCATCAACAACCTGGTTGTGACGTCCAGGTTTGTGTTGCCATTCAAAGTCATACTCTTCAAGGAATTTTTGCCATCTAGCCTGTCTTGGAGACAACTTCTTTTGTGTTTTGACGAAAGTATTTGCCACATTGTCCGTCAATACCACGAATTTGGTTCCCAGCAGGTAAACTCTCCAAATCTGAAGACAATGCACAATTCCTGTCATTTATTTTTCATAGGCAGAATACTTCTTTTCAGCATCATTTAACTTCCGAATTTCGAACACAACCGGGTGCACCTCTTGCACCAAAACACCGCCAATAGCCTCATCAGAGGCATCAGTGTGTAATTCGGATAGAAGTTCAAAATCAGGTAACCGCAAAATCGGTTCACTTGCAACAGCCACTTTCAATTTGTCAAAGGCTGCTTGACAACTTTCATCCTATTTCCAGGGTCTGTCTTTTTTGAGCAAATTCGTGAGAGGTGCTACCTTCTTTGAGTATCCCTCAATGAATTTTCTATAATAGTTGGCCAAACCCAAAAAGAAGCGCAACTCAGTCAATTTGCATGGTGCTTGCCAATCCATGATTGCTTGCACTTTTCTATTATCCATCTTTACGAGGCCTTTGCAAATTACATGCCCCAAGAATTTAATTTCCCGCTGGGCAAACTCACATTTTTCTTTCTTGACATACAACTGGTGTTCTCGTAATCGAGTGACCACCATTCGAAGGTGGGACAAGTGATTCTCTAGGGACTCACTATATATTACAATATCATCCAAATAAACAACAACAAACTAATCAACATAATTATTGAATACATCATTCGTAAGATTACAGAATGTAGCCGGGGCATTAGTTAACCCAAACGGCATTACTAGGAACTCAAAAGACCCATACCTTGTAACACATGTGATCTTTGACTCATCCCCTTCTGCCACTCAGACTTGCCAATAGCCATCACGTAAATCCAATTTTGTGAAGTAAGTGGCCTTGCACAATTGATCAAATAGGTCTGCCACCAAAGAGACTGGGTACTTGTTCTTTATAGTCACTTTTTTGAGAGCCCGATAATCCACACACATGCACAAACTTCCATCTTGCTTCTTTTGAAAAAGCACTGGGGCACCGTAAGGGGCCTTGGATGGCTGAACCAGTCCAACATCCAATAAGTTCATCAGTTGCCTTCGCAACTCTGTGAGTTCCATTGGGGACATTCTGTAGGGTGCCTTCGCTGGAGGCTTAGCACCCGGAATCAACTTTATTTTGTGATCGATGGCACGCCGAGGAGAAAGGGACTTTGGTAACTCCGGAGGCATCACATCCTCAAATTTCCTCAACACTTCTGCCACTTTATCCGGCACTTCTACCGACCGATCGGGTTTGATTTCCACCAAGGCAGCAAGATAAGCCTCTGCGCCCTTTTTCAAACCGTTGTGCACTTGAATTGATGAGAGGGTCTCTGTCTTCCTCTTTGTGCCCTTGCTTTTGTCTGATTTACTGCAACCAACGACAAAGCAAGGCTTGTCTTCATCCGAAATAAGTATCCCACCCAAATATGGCATCAAAGCCATTTTTGCAGTCACAAAGAAATCATTTCCTAAGATGATATCAAAATCATCCAAAGGAACCACCATCAAGTTATCCGTCTAGTCCATTCTCCAACTGTGATCTTTACTTTGGAAGCCATTTTTTGTACCGATTAAGCCACTAAGTTTACTGCCTTGATTTGACTAGCACTTTGGGTAACTTGCAATCCGAGGGTCTGTACAACTTTTTCCGACAGAAAGTTATGCGTGGCACTGGTGTCTACTATTGTCGCAATGTCAGTACCTGCCAATGTCACCTTGATGTGCATTAGACCAGTCATAGGGGTTTTGTCCGCATGAATTGCATTGAGCAATTATAAGGGATTTACCCTAGTCGACCCCTCAGAATCCGACTCTCTCTTGTTATCTTCTGCGACCATAACGTTAAGTTTCTCATGCTTGGGACAGTCTTTCGCTCTATGGGGTCCATCACAGATGAAACACCCTTTGTTAGATTTCC